ACCAACTCTCTCACCAGGGGCAGAAAAGAGAAAAGTATCATTTCCATTGGATATCCTGCTATGTAATTTATTTTCACATTTAACTCAAATCCATCTGGAATTTAATTTATGTATGTCCTTTTTTTCTGAATAATTAGCAAGTTATCCCAGCACCTTTTGTTGAATAATCTACACTTTCTCCACTGGTTGCATGCAATGATAGCATATAATGCATTCTTAAATAAACTCGGGTCTGTTCTGGGGCTTTCTATTCTGTTTTATTATATTGAGGATCACAAACTGGGGCCCCATGAACCCAATCAGGCCTCCAGATGTGTGTTTTGTCTTGTTTGGCTTTCATCCAGAGGTGTTTTTTTAAATTGTGAATTTTAGGCAGTTCAGAGTCAGGCCTGTCTTCAACCAAGTTACTTGCCCAAGCTCTGAGGGCCTTAGAGTTTTTTATTCCTGCAGTAACATTAGCAACACATTGTCTTAATGTTTTTATCTTTTTGTTTTTTTAATTTATGAGGAAATGAAATTTATTTTTTATAGTTTCAGAGGCTGGGAAGTCCAAGGTCCAGGTGGTGCATTTGGGGAGGGCCTTAATCTGGGTGTGAACTCTCTACAGGGTCCCATGGTGACCAGGGTATCACATGGTGAGCATGACATGAGGAAGAGAGCAACACTTTCATCTTTAGAACACATTTTAGTACCCAGCAGTGGACATTCTCTCACATTCTTCTCTTTCAATATTTCCATAAGTACGCTAATTCTCCAAATGAACTTTTACTTCACTTTGTCAGCTTCTGGGGGAAAAATCTCTCTGGGATTTTGATTGCAATCACATTAAATTCCTAAATTCATTTGGATGGAATTTACATCTTTACAATATTGAGTCATCATTCAGAAATGTCTCTATTCAATTTTTCTTTTATATCCCTCGGTTAAAATTTTTAAGTTTTCTTTTTATTTTATTATTTTTTCTTCCCTACTTTGTGGGATAATTTTCTTTTTAAAGTTCCTGTACGTTTCTTGTTAAATTTATTTCTAAGAATTTTCTTTTGCTGCTGCCAGTACAGATCGATATCCTTTCCTATTATGTTTTCAAAATTACAGAAGTAATATATAGTCATTGTAAAAAAAAAAATCAAACAATATAGGAATATAAAGAGTAAAAAGTGAAAGAACCATTCAAAACAACCTCCCATACCTCATGCCCTCTCTGTCCCTAGATGTATGCTAAGATCCTTCAAGAATTTTCTTTACTTAGCCACATACACACACACACACACACACACACACAGATACACACACTCACTAACTATATCACACTATAAAAAAGATCCTTCAAGAATTTTCTTTACTTAGCCACATACACACACACACACACACACACACACACACACACACACAGATACACACACTCACTAACTATATCACACTATAAAGACAGCTCTTGATCTTGCTTTTGTCCTTAACAATTTATCCTAGATACTGCTCCACATCCATGAGTGTAAATCAACCTCATTCTTCTTATAAATTGCACGGTATTACATTAAATCCTAATGGCTTTTCATTAGTTAATCATTCTTTTGGATTTTCACAGTACATGGATTACAACATCTGCCATTATATAAAAAAAAGAAAAACTTAATTTTCTTGTTTTTTTGCAATAGCTAGAGCATCCAAAACAATGTTAAATGTTTGTGGTGACAGCAGAAAGCCTTCGTGTCCCTAACTTTAACAACAACATCTTTAGCGTAAATGTTATCTGTTGGGTTCAGATATTTTTTGTCATGTTAATAAAGTGCCTTTGCATACTAATAGTTTGGTTTTCTAAAAGAAACATCAGGATGGATGTTGAATTGCCATGTTGGCATCTATTACAATGATCATAAGTCTCTGTCTTGTGATATATTGATGGAATTAATTTTGTTAATAGATTTCCCAGTATTAATCCATTTTGTATTCATGGTCCTGGTGAATTATTCTTTTAACATTGCACTAAATTAAATTTGATGATGTTTCTATTAAGATAGAGATTGTCCTGTTTTCTTTTCTTTGTCTACAATTAGTTTCTTTAATAAGCTCCGCTTTCAGCTTACTTCCAAACATTGTTTTAATTCTCAGAGGGAGTACAGCACAAACTGGTATGATGCTCATCACAAGTGTTTCCTCCTCCTGAGAATACAGCTCAACTACATATCTAGTCCCTTGCAACGTAAGTAGCCATGTGACCAGTTCCCCCCAGAGGTCCAGTGGAAGTGGTGATGAGTGGAAAAGCAGAAGGGCGTTTTTTGTGTTTTCTCCCCTTCCCCTTCCACTTTGAGGTCATAGGTGAATAGGGTGGAGCTGCTAGATGGAAGGGACTTAGATCCCTGATAGAGGCTTGGAAGAGAATCTCCCAGCGTAGCTACACCACTTGGAAAATCCACATTGGACCTTGTTAAGCTATTGAGACTTGAGGTTGTTTGTTACAGCAACTAACATCCATATGCTTGACCAATACAAGTTCTCCATAACACACATTTTAGAACATATTTAACATAATTTATCTGCATGATTCCACTTATATGGAATATAAGACATATAGGGGATGAAATATAACAGACAAAAAGTGGTTTCGTCATACCCCATACTCATTCAATATTCAGCAAATTGACTTCTGTTGTGTACTTAGCAATATGCTGGTCTGTATGCCAGGATAATATTTTTTTCCCCCCTTTTTGTCTTTTTTACTGACCGGTAACGGGATCGCAACCCGCAGTGTCGCGCCCGTACTGGGGACCGGCAACGGGATCGCAACCCTCGGTGTTGCGCCCGCACTTCGCTCAGCCAGTGAGCAGGAACCGGTCTCCACATGGGATCCGAACCCTCGGCAGGAGCGCCGCCACGCTCCCAAGCGGCGCACTCTCCAGTGCGCCACCAGGCAGGCCCAGGATAATATTTTTTGAGATATTAACCTGTATCTTTTTTCTCCTGCTATCTGCCCCCACCCCCCCCTTTTAAGCAGATGTCTCACAGGGAAGATAGGACAGGACAGAAAACAAAATGTGGCTATTAGTTTCCAACAACCTAAATCCATTAGGAGATTTTGCCTCAGAGAGAAATATCAAGGCAGAAAAGGGCAGGGGTGGGTGGGGTAGGGGAGAGGGGGTGGTTTTAAAAGAAAGCAGGGCTCAACCAGGGAGGGACGGAGACTGGACACAGCCCTGCATCTTACCCCCAGCCCCTGGGGAGGCAGTGGGACCCCAGAGAGGGACAGCAGTGGGCCACAGGCACCAAGACTCTCATGACTGTCACGCTAGGCACCAAACGAAGCAGCAGAAAGAGCTTCCAGACAGGAGCGGATGGATACTTGGGCGGGAGAAGAGGGTGTCTTACAGCTCCCCTTAGGGTCCCACTTGGACCTGGGCCACCTGATGCCAAGACATACCAGGTGATTCCAGAAACAGATGGCCTCCTCCTCAAGGGCTGGCATTAAACAACACCCCAAACTGAGCTACGATCTTAAGGAAAAGCGAGAGAAACCCCAAATTGACCGGGCCAGGCTCTCAGGATGAACCAGCAGGGAAACACAGCGTTTTGAGGAGAATCGCTCCTGGAGTTTCACGGTCGCCCTGCTGGGTCTGTTTGTCTGGGACGCTCCGGTGGAGACCCATCTCTGGTTTGGGGGCTTAGGGTGGGGAGGGGTGGTGAGGGGGCGGCTGGGGCTGTCTGCTGAGCCCGCTGGGCTGCCTGGTAGCGACGGGCGTGTGTCACAGCCCGCTCTGGGGGCGAGGCTGGGCCGGAAGGTTGTGGGACAGGGGAAGAGGAGGCTGCCAGCGGCGTCTGCTCTTCCTCCAGGGCCGGGGCTTAGAGCTGGGGGATGGCGGCCAGCAGGGGGCGCCCGAGGACCGGCAATGTGGCGGGGGCGGCCTGGCGGAGCTCGGGACCCCGCCCGGCCCGGCCCCCAGACGCGGAGCGGCGCGGAGTCGCGGCCGGGCCCGAGTGCAGGCGACCCTTG